AATTCAAGAACAGAGGAACAGATGGGTGAAACACTTTGAGGAACTCTAGAATAGATCATCTCCGTCGAATCCATGGGATATCAAAGCAGAACACACAGACCTTCCTATCGCTGTCACTCCACCAACGATCGAAGAAATCAAGATGGCCGGTCATCAAATTAATCAAGAGTAAAAAAGCAGCATGACCTGACAATATACTAGCCGGGGCACTGATGTCAGACATAGAAGTAACTGCAAACATTCTCCACGTTCTATTCAGGAAGATTTGGAAAGAAGAACAAGTAACGACAAATTCTAAAGAAGGATATCTCATCAAAACATCAAAGAAAATATATCAGTGATTGCGACAACTAACTACATAGGCATCACACTACTATCAGTACCAGGAAATGTTTTCAACAAAGTATTTTTGTAGAGAATGAAAGATTCAGTAGGCTTCTAACTTTCACATCAGGCCGGATACCATAAGGAGCGGTCGTGCACAGACCAAATCGCAACACTATGGATCATCGTCGAACAATCAATTAAATGGAGCTCGTCACTATACATCAACTTCTTTGACTATCAGAATGTATTTGACAGTGTGGATAGGAGAACATTATGGAAATTTCTTTGACACTATGGTGTACCTGGGAAGATCGTCAATATCAAACGGAATTCATACGACGAACTACAGTGCAAAACCGTGCATGGGGGGCAGCTGACAGACGCATTCATAGTGAAGATCGGTGTCAGACAAGGTTGCTTACTCTCCCCCTTGCTCTTTCTTCTGGTAGTTGGCTGGATTATGAATACCTCCACATCTGGGTGGAGGCACGGAATACAATGAATAGCTCGGAATGAACTAGACGATTTGGACTTCGCAGATGACCTAGCTCTTCTATTCCATACACACCAACAAATGCAAGTCATGGCAGACAGTTTAACAGCATCCTCTGCATCAGTAGGTCTCAACATACACAAAGGAAAAAGCAAGATCCTCAAATTCAACACAGAGGATCTGATGCAGATGCAAAGGCAACAAGTAACAGATCAAATCAAGCGCTCCTGCAACTGAAGAACATGTGGAACTCAAAACAACTCTCAACCGATGTGAAAGTCGGAATCTTCTATACGAGAGTCAAGACAGTTCTACTGTATGGAGCTGAAGCTTGGAGAACTACCACAACCATCATTAGACAGTTACAAGTATTTATAAACACTTGTCTGCGTAAGATACTCTATGTCCGTTGGCCGGATACCATCAGTAGCAATTTCTTGTGGGAGAGAATCACCAAATTAATAAGATCCAGATTACAGAGTTTATAGCCAGCAGTAGTGAAGTGAGCATCACTTTTACAAACCGAATTGATATGTCCGATTCGGCCACACTTGGAGCATTTATCATAACTAAATTCGCACGAATTGCGTAAATTAAGTTTACCACACGATACGCATTTGCCGGACCTTTACTCATTTCTGTAAACTGCTTCACAGTCATCCAATGAATTTTCTTCTGTTTTTGCGAAAACGGGTATTATTATCAATTAAACACCTGTCCATACAACTTTGATTATGGATTGGATTAGGATAACTAAGTAACGTGGCTTAATTTTTTACTCCCAGGAAGTCAGTTTCATGTATTTTTCCATAAATGAAATATGGAATTCTAGCATCCTATGGGGGCATTTCGATACTCGAATGAGCGTTTTTTCGCGTTCGCTATGTTAATTCATACAGTTAACTGATCACACAGTTGGATATAAAGTTGATCATTAAAATAACATTTGGCAGCTTGTTTCTTAAATTTGAGAGTAATTATTCTAGCCTGGTTATTCAAACGAGTCATTTCATTGGAAGTACACATCAGAAAGATAAATAACAACTGAGGATTACCCACAGAACTGGATGAAGAATGCTGGTGAGTGGCCCATGCTCCTCCATGAAGGTTAACAGGTGTAACTTTTCTCAAGTGACAGTTTTCACTTACTTTGTATTGAATTCTAAATTGATCTTTGAACCTCAATCAAACTGTATGAGTATTGTCATACCCATTTTCATTCCATTGTTTTCTCAATATGATGAATTGTTGTTACGAACAAATTTTTTTAGTGAAATAGAATTAAGGAGAATAAGAATTTTCGAAAAAATTCTTTCCCATCTACTGCCATATTTATTTTATAATGTTTTTGTACTATTTTTTACTTGTTGAATTCATTTTTAAAATTTTTTATTAATAGCAAACAATGTACGAGCTTTTATACTCGGGCATACCAAGAACGAATCATCCAATATAATCAGTTAGTTCTTTTTTTAGGAAATGATTGTTATTTTCTTATATATTTTGGCAGTTTGAAAATCCTCATAAAATGTTCAAAAATGAAGAATATTTGAGCGAACAATTATTTTCAATAACTTCATCATTAGACTCCACATTTATGAGTCTATAATTATTGTGATATTTTATAAATTCCAAAATAAGGCATGTATTAAGGAATTTGACAATGTTAGAAATTGTGAACGTTTGCATTTATTACGACATATATATACTTCAAAGTTGTGTTATTTGCAAATTAGAAGGGTCAATTAATAAAGGTCAGAATGATTTGGAGTAAAGTGTCCAGTCACAATCAGTAGATTAGTAATATAGCAAAAATGAAAATTAAGAAGGGACGAATCGAGCAAAGAAATTTCTTTTCAGTTGGTTCTTCATCATTGCTCTACGATAAGATATATCTGATTTACAATAATGAAATAATACTCATCGAGTAGATACGTTACGTAATAATTATAAACTAAAATTGAGTAATGGGAAGCAAGAGGATTAATAATAAGCAAAGTAATTATTCGAAAAGCAAGCTGTTTCTACGTTGCATAATATATAGAAAGAGATGGAACTATTTTTTGATGAATGGTCGGTAGTATAATAGTTATGTATAAATCAAGAGATGAATATTCAGAATAAGTGAAATAAAAAAATGGAAGAAATAACCATTCCCATAGCTTCACACCTCTTCAATATAAAATAAGTCTGGTTAAATGTCTCAGCCACAGAGTTAAGCCATTATGTTCTTGAGGACATTGTCGATAGCGAAATAGGCATACTAAAAAAACATTACGAAATAGTGGCTATCCAGATAATCTCGTTGGTTAAGAAATGGATTAATTTCCTAAGGAGTAGAATTGTACATTTATGAGTGGGTATTTGTGCATTTTATTTGGTAGCTGAGTATGCTTTCTCGTTCACTCTTGTGTTCTCGCCCAAGTAGTCATTTGGGAGGGAGTTGACGTAAAACGTTGTGAATCAGTATCGGATCTCAAGAAATCCCCATTATAACAAATTCCTTGTTGATTTCAAGTTACTTAATAATCGTTTGCAGGATTGTTGGGCGGATTTGTACGTAATATTACGTATATTTGTGGAGATGGTTTCATCTAAGAAATGTTTACTGACATTCGATGTATAAACCGAGTCTTTTGAAATGCACAATCCAAGCATCATCGTTTCTGTAGAATAGTAGACAATTGAATCCTGGAGTACCTCGTAAGCCCTCCGCCACAATGCCCTCCACTAAAATAGGAAATTTGTCTCAGCACCATCCACTTTTACGATATTGTTAGACACACCCAACACCTCTAACATGTACCCTCCTATGGTGTGAACTGCTAATGTCCATGGCTTGAGTTTCTTACATTGCTCTTTGCCTATTAACGACACTACTACCACGGTATCGAAGAGACACAATTAATCTCCTTTATTATGTCCACTTTTGTGTAGACTGCCCACCTATCTACTAGTGCAACAACCCCCAGGTTCTTAAAGTGGAAAGAAGACGCGTATTAACGTCTAAAATATTTGCTTCTTCGTCTTGTTGAACAGTTCATCTTCCAATGTCCTATCCCTCCATTAGTGTAACACTCATCATTGCTTTTATGATTCACTCGTATCGCATAAATCTCACACTTCAGCTCCTCAATCTTCTCGACACTGCATCTCCTCACTTCCGCATTCGATCGGAGCTACTGTTCGGGTCACCACTAGTTCACTGATATCCATAGGTTATGCGGCTTTTACTAGTTTCTGAGAAACGGTGACCGGCACGCTCGATAAACTGCACCTTCGACTCCTCACTCAGGTTCGGCAGCGCACGGCGCAACAACATGGTAAGCTCCACAGTCAGTACCAGTGGGTTAACATTAATAGACAACTTCGCTAACTTCTGCAGTGCTCCTTCCTTGTCAACTAGGCTGTCGAACTCCGCGATTAACCGCTCTGTGACTGTCTCCAATGTAGTCCTTCCACGAGCACCGTTCAAGTTATTATATACAGCCTTTCCCTTGCCTCTCAACAGCGTCCCCAACACCACCGTATTCGCCCTAGGCTCCTTCACTCCCACTGGCTCCGCTACAGCCTCAAACTCTTTCAGAATTGTCAGTATATCTCCATCCTTAGATTTCTTCGGTCAAGGAATCTTCATCCTTAGTGGAGGCAGCGACATCAAATGTAGCTAAAAACAATCGATCATATTTAGCCCAAAATTACAGAGTTACCTCATAAAATAAAAAACGATACTCTAATACTTCATTTGCAAAATGTTTATTAATTGTCTCAGACTGCATTGTTCCTGCATTTACATACCAATCGCTTTCTGTTCCCGTTCTTCCCTCCTCGATCTTCTCAACCTTCCGCTGCCAAATGTTCTACTCCTGACTAGTGTTATATGCTACTTATGCCGACATAAGTAGAACACATCACAGTAGTATTTTGAACTTAGATTGTTGGGGATGAAGTATTATGTACTGACTAGTATTGTATCCAAGGGATGATTAGCTTAATTTGAATTGTGAATATTATATAGTATAGTGGATTTTAAAGACTTCTATAATTGATTTGGTAGAAAACGTAGGAGAATACCTAAACTTACATTAGTCGCTGTCTAACGCGAGATGTTTCCTCATTCTAACGTTTTGTAATGAAAACCACTTTTAAGTTCTGCATACTATTCTTTTTTTGTACACAGACGTCGTAACAATGGTTTGACTAGCTCAAAAGCAAATCCATATGAAGATCTCGAAGATTGAATAGCCAACATCATTTGTATTTTTACGGCATGCTAGATTTCCTTACTTCATGCTCCATCGTTTAACTTACAGGATTGGTTATAAACATTATTTTGTTTTTTCGGTTATCCTCTTAACATTATTGCTATTCCATACGTTTTTCGAACTTTTGAAGTGGTTTCAATACCTGACATTGTCACTTAAATTTGCACTAGTTTAGTCTCAATTTTAAGAAAAACTGTCCTAGTATTTCATGAAAACGATTGAATTCTATGAAGCTGCTTTTTTAGCACGTAACTTTAGCCAAATAACTTTCATTTGTTTAGATGTTGATTAATACTCTATAAACTTCTCGTTGAACATTTCTAAATAGCAGATATTTAGAATTATTTCACCTGAATACTGTACTATCGTGAAATTTATCAAGTTCGCTTTGTTTATTTGAACTGAGTTTTTTTGTTTATCACTAACAGATTTAATATGATAGAAGAACAGTGAGGTAAATATCAGTTGCTTTTATATATGCCATCTAAACAGGTTTAGAAGGTTCAGCTTGGTGTTTTTATGTAGTAATCATTTCTGCAAACCTATCATTGTTCTTACTCCTTCTATTTGCATAGTCTCATAATTCCTCTTCATTTGTAAAGGAAATTTTCTTTTAGCGAGTTCAAGTATGTTTCTTACACGTTATCTTTTCAGCCTTAATGATTCCTCCAAGTTTTCTCTGTTCTGTAACTTCGAAGTTAGCTGGTTCATCACACCATTCCCATTTAACTGGAGTAGGCCTCCAATCATTCAACACAGATAATCTGCGTTGGTGATCTCCATTCACTTCAATTCTTCCAAGAGTCAATTATAATGCACTTAGTTATTTTAATTTTAAAAAAACCATACATTTCAATGAGTTTTTTTAATCGCTTTACAATAGTACTCAGTTCTGTTACTGGCTATTTTTGCAAGAATATCGGTAATCTAAAAACTGAAACTCCGTATATGAAGTAGTAGCGATCAGATGTTTGGTAAATCGCCAGTGAAAGTGTTATCTCACCATAAGCATAATGAATGGTAACTTTGGAATCCTTTTATGGACCAATACTAAACGTATCTTTTTATCGTATAACTGTTAAATAACTAAATTATCCATATTTATATTATTCTTATCATAAGCTTTATTTTGACTTGTGAACTATTATTATACGTCTCAGCATTCTTGAATTATGCCCTGTCTGTTAATCACTACCTCCTTCATTTACAGCCACTTTTTGGCAAAATCTTGTACAAATGTTGTTTCATATTTTATGGTACGTTGTGGTCTGTCTGATTGGTATATAAACCTAGAATGTTTGGAATAAGTTATTCATATTGCAGAAGCTGAGATTGGTGTTCTGGACTTAGCTGGCTGGGCTAGGCAGAGAGCAGGACTGATCAGTACTCTAGACTGCTCATACGGGTTTACGCGTCATTGATCCGATCGATAAGTCACTGCTCTTTGGTTGGCGGTATCGTTACGCTATACATTAGCAGGGCACACAGGTCACAAGTTATAACAGAAAGCAACACATAACTGTACCTTTTGAACGTGATTTTGGTGTCTTATATATCTATCTGATGAGAGAAGGGCGAAATTAACAGCTCGGCAGGAGTTATTATCGCCTGAAGAAGATGCATAATAATTACAACTATAAAAGGAGTTAATATATCGATTATTATCTAAGTTCTGGTACAAAATCAGGACAAAATAGTGAAAATCAGCCGAAATCGTAATAAAGAAGACAAACACAAAACCTTATAATTGTGTAGTAACTTGTTTCAGTTTGAGTAGCCTTGATAACAATACAGTCAAAGTCGTTTGACAGTCTCTTTGCAGCTAAACCGGAAAATATCATTCGCTGTGCATTTATTTATTTATTTGAGCACATAAATATTGGTACAAGAGAGCGCCAATATATATGCGCCACACAAAACAATGAAAATTCGAAGAGAAAAAAAAAATTAAGGAGCGCAAAAGAAAAAGAGAACGATAACGAAGAGATTGGTGAAAGGTAGTGTGGTCGTAACGATGGAACGGAAAGGTACAATCAGAAGAAATCTTTCAAGTAAGGGAGACACAACCACTTTTTATGAAGAAAGTAAAAGAAGGTTACAACAGGATCGCCACTGGCTTCTATTCTGAGCCATATCTGATAACGTCTCTAGCCACTGTGTAGCACCATCTCTCAGACCCCAACCAGGGAGTCGTGAAGGACCAACACAAGCCAGCCCTTTGCAGCTTTCTTTCATACCACGACACCATGTCATGCACTGACCACCTCTCCGCTTTTTCCAACCAGTCCCAGAGTCGGCAAATAATGCACGACGTGGAATTCTCTGGGACGACATTCGTAGAACATGTCCAAGCCACCGAAGTCGGTGTTTCAAGATGGTGACACCAATTGAATTATCATCCCTGTGCCCAAACACACGATGCCGAACCTCTGCATTACTGATATGGCGTTGCCACTGAATGTCAGCAATCCTTCGGAGACAGCGATGATCGAACACAGAGAGTCGTCTAACGTCCTCAACTCGGAGAGGCCAGGTTTCACAACCATAGAGCAAAACTGCTCTCACCGACGCGTTGTAGATCCGACCTTTTACAGCCAGACTAACATCACGAAGGCGCCAAAGGTGGCCCAGATTGGCATAAGCCGCTCTGGCTTTCACTATACATGCATTGATCCCATCACTCATGCCACCACCAGCACTTATGTAGCTACCTAGATACACTAAATTCTCTACTACTTCTATCTGCTCACCATCCAGGGAGAGTACAAGATTAGAATCCTGTCAGTCTTGTATAAGTTCTCTGCACTTCGAAGGTGCAAAGCACATACCATACCTACGGACACTGATTGCCAACTGATTAAGTGCGGATTGCATGCCTTGGGCACTATCGCACAGTAAGACAATATCATCCGCATATTGAAGGTCGAGAAGTCTTTCTCCAGGCAACAGATCCACATCACCATTACTTACATTCATCAGAGCTGTTTCCAGAATGTCATCGATGGCAAAGTTGAGGAGGAATGGTGAGATTGGGCAACCCTGCCTAACCCCACTACTCGAATGGAACAATGGAGAGAGGTGGTTGTATGCCCTCACTCTGCCTCAGTGTTTTTATATAGGGCTTTTAAGATGTTAATAAACTTCTCAGGCACACCCTTCTTCAATAGACAATCCCAGAGAACAGTCCTGTCCAACGAATCGAAGGCAGCCCTGATGTCAAGAAACACTACGATTGTTGGCCTTTGATAAGTATGGCGATGTTCTAACATTTGGCGGAGGGTGAAGATATGATCAATACAACCTCGACCAGAACGAAACCCAGCCTTCTCCTCGCGAGTCAATCTTTCTCGGGTTTTGAACAACCTACGAAGTATGATGGAAGCCAATAGCTTGGACGCAATCGGAAGTAGACTTATCCCCCGATAGTTGTGGCAGGAACGACGTGAACCCTTTTTAAAGATAGTGACAACTATCGACTTATTCCATGACGTTGGTACACTCTCTAATTCCCAAACCTTTGTAAACAACGTCGTCAATTCCTTAGTCAAAAAGTCACCACCATCTTTCAAAAGAGCCGGAGGTAAGTCTTCTGGGCCAGGTGATTTGTAACGCTTCAAGAGTTGGAGTTCCTTGCTGACTTCCTCCTCGTTTGGTTGATCAGTCATCACCGGCCATGGAGGGCAGGACAGTCTGACCGATGTAGCCGGAGCAGCAGGCCCTTCGAAAAATTCTGCCCATCGTCCAAGACGTCGATGGATGTTAGTGATTGGCATCCCATCATCTTCGCAGATTGTTTCACTCACACCAGACTTCTTGCTGCCAGTGGCTCGGATGAGCTGGAAGAGCTTCCGGTAGTTACCAGATGCAGCTGCTGCTTCCAGCTCGATAGCACACTCCGACCACCAGGCTTCTCGGTCCTTACGCAAGCTTTGCCCAATTTCTTACGTAACATCCTTCGTTTATGGTCAAACTCACGGTCATCCGGAGTAGACCGACGGGCTTCAATAAGTTGTAAGGAACCAGAAGAAACCCAGTGCTTATAAGCGGGACGTTTCGCAAACCCACAAGTGACTGTTCCCGCCATTTTCATGGCGTCATGCAATTGCAACCAATGCTCATCTATACCTTTCGGTGGAGTGGTAGCTAGCCTAGAGGCTAGCTCGGTTCGATACTTATTTGCAACAGAAGTTGCAACCAGCTTGCAAATATCAATCCGTTGGTGGCGGTCACTTCGTTGTCCACTGAAAAGTAAGGTAAGACTGGTGCAGACCAAGGCATGGCCATAGTCCAGATAGGTACACCAAAAGGAGCGGCAGTCTTTTACACAACCACGCCAGCGGTAGCTGATCGCGATGTGATCAATTTGAGTCCAGGCTTGGGATGCAGAGGGAGGTCGCCAGGTGGCACATCGGCGATGACTGTGCCGAAAGTTAGTGCTAGCCAGAAACAGGTTGTGGTCTGTGCAAAGTTGCAGTAGACGGTTCCCGTTATCTGACCTGCGACCAACGAGTCCCCATCGTCCACCTAAACGACTCTCTTCTGTGCCTAGACGCCCGACCTGAGCATTCAAGTCTCCGGCTAGTACTACAATATCTGTCGAGCGCACTTTCTGGAGAAGAACAGATAACTGGTGGTAAAACTCATCCTTGATTGCATCCGGGCTGCAATCTGTCGGGGCATAGGCGGAGATGACGAAAAGACATCGTCTCTCACGCCGATTCCTTCTCACTTCGATGGAACTTTCTAATCTAACAGCACATAACCGATTGTTAATGGGGATCCAATCGACTAGTGCTGCCTCAGCTCTAGCGCTTAGTGCGACACCAACGCCAGCAAGACCAGACGAAGATGCCACAGGGTCCCCGGATAAGCGCACGTAAAACAAGCTTTTCGAAGCGACAGATGGAGATCGAATTTGTAGTACTTCGCCAGAGTCTTGAATACGGGTCTCGGATAGACAACAAACATCAATATTGAGACTTTCCAAAGACATAGCCAGCCCTATCTATTGTCCGACCTGCATTAGTGTGCGAACGTTGAAGGCAGCCAGTTTGAATGGTGCACGTGGTTTCAGAAAAACCGCTTCAGTTCTCGTATTCGGTGGTAACATACAATTTTCAACCGGACAGTGACTCGAGAACGTTTAGATACAGTCGAATTTCCACCAAAGACGAGCCGCTGTATAAGTATAAAAGAGGGAGAACAATGTGGAAAATAATAATAATAATAATAATAATAATAATAATAATGGTAATAATAATAGTATTAATAATGACAATAATAGTAATGATAATTATTTGAATTGATTGATTGTTTATCGGATCGAGAAAGTAAGTTGCCGTAGTCATAGAGTTCATTGTTTGTGTGTGGGATGTGACACTGCCCGGGTGCCCAAACCGAAGCAGGTGGTTATCTTAGGGGGCCACACCCCGAGCCTTTGACCTAACGGTCTAACCCACAAGGCAGTGGAACATCGTGAGGAGATGCAATCCCATGGAAGCCGGTGACCAACGATTGGTTCATACGCCATTTGTTCCCGCAGGATACTGGAGCCCATGTGCACCATTGGTTTGTGATCCGGTTAAAGCGCCGGACGTTCGCTTTTCGTCCTCTCATTTTCGTAAACAACACCCCCGCCACGAGAAGGCAATGAGTAGGACTTCCCTGGCAGAGGCTGTATACGCGCGGCCGTGTGAGAGTATTTCGAGAGGGAGAGCGGACTCTCCCCACTCTCGGCCGTACCAGGGCGTTCGGGGGCGTTCGCCGTGCAACTCATTAACAACTCTGTATGATGTTAATAGAAACTATAGTTTCCGTTTCGTTCAGTTTACTCTAGTTCGTCCACATTTATATTTTACAGCTTCCATGCGTGGGACACTTTAAGTGTTGATATTAAATCTAACGACACTATCTTCGTTCTGTAGCATTTGACTTTATGATTTGTCAGCAAATTGTGCTATTATCTTAAGATTATGCTTTATAAATCTTTTATAGTGTGGTTTGGTTATTGCTTAGCCTGTTGTAGTGGAACATTTAAAGGTTTGGTAAACCAACAGGTAAAATGCTAACTAGCTGTTATTACTGGGATGAACTGTAGCCAAAGCGCGTTCAGAAAAAAGACCGCTATAAGAAAGAACAGTGAGTTGTGACGTGTGACAGCATTTTTTGAGTAAAATTCCGTCATATTCCTGCAACCTCAAGTATATCTGATACACTTAAGTTGAAAGATTAGAATGAAAGTTTTGAATCATCAGTCTTAAAAGTATCTCTTCAAAAAGGATCCCAGAATTATTTTTAAGGAATTTACGAGGGACAAAGCGTAAGAATTTTCTTATTTGAGATGCTTCAGTTGAAACATGTTTAGAGAAGTTTGGATTGTGAGAGTAATGTTCTCCGACCCTAGTTATTAACGCACGTTTTATCTAGTACTTTTATTTTTAAATACGTATCTGTAATAGATAGGTGAACGCATTTCTCTACGTTGAATTCTCACTTCTAGTGCTTAAACCGGATATTTAAATTTTCGAGTTAATGCTAAATTCTCTTCATTCAACTTCGTATATCGCATTATAGGTGAGATATGAGCCACATGTGTAAATATTGGTCTGTAACAACTTGGGTTGATTGGTTAAGAATCGGCTGCAAACATATCAGTTAGGTGAAAACAGTAATGATCAAGCTTTCATTCACTTCCTAATTACACATAGGCATCATATTTTCTATTTTATTTTACATTGAATGTTGAGAGACTTGTGTGTTTGACAAGAAAACTTCGCGCTCCACTGTGTACTATCTCACGAACTAAATAAAGTCCCATTCACTGCTAGTTTGATTTCTTATATCAATAATACGAAAGATACTCACCCACACAAAAGGTGTTATTTGTATGCATTCCTGATGTATATTTTAAAAGCCATTCAACCTAGGATGCTAAGCTGGAAACTCTACTGGCTATTGATCGGGATGTAGATATTGTACAATTAAGTTTATTGCTAGGGTATCTGTTCGTGACAAAATACTCAGTAAATCTCAAGCGAGAGTTAGTAACCTCAAAAGACTAGTCTGTTGATTAAGAGATTATGAATTACTTTACCAAAAGCTTTCTTGATATTTTAATTCAGTATAACCGCTAGACAAATTTCAATTACTTCCCTTATTTGGTAGATCAGAGGAATTCTACAGGGGTTATAACGTGATGTACTTTTTTTCTTAAAAGATAGTCAGAAACTCGATTGGGATGTTCCATTTAATAAACGTACCATAACCAACCACATAATCAATATACAATGTAGCGGTAAAAAAATCCCCAAAATAAATAGCTCTGTTAGTTTTCGACATTGGATGCTGACCACATTAGTTTTAGTGGACTCACCTAGCTGAAAGAGCTCGGTCATGCATCCGCACCTGATCACAAGTGTGGACGCCGTGCTCAACATCTACTGCAATCGCTAGCCAGATTAGATCAGACGATTCTCGATATATTGATAGTCATCAAATATATCTTCCAATCTCCTCGATTCTGTCTTTTGATTTCTCTTGGTGTGTACAAGTTATATTCGAAGGTGTTACTGCTAAAAGCGTTGTCAAATACTGAATACCTGTGCCATCATCAGCAAACATATGGGTGTAGGTATGCTAAAGGGTTAATTTTCACTAAACACGTCTTCTCGGTCGTTATCATATCGATCCTGGATTCTTTAAGCTTCAAATTTATTTGTAACCTATGATTCATTATGAACGTTAATCAGTGAAAATTCAAACAATCAGTCGTGATGCTAAAGAAAAACCTAGAGAAAATAAACTGGGAAGACGTGATCTTAAAAAGTGAGCTAGATATATACTGTGAGGATATGTAGCCTCGGATTTATAGTGATCGACAAAATTAAAAGTTGTAGGAAAATATAAATTTTGGCGATCTCGTGATATCGAAAGAATACCGAGATCGTGTCAAAGGAGTACAAGTGGAAATACTGAGCAGAGGTAAGTTCGTGCAAGGTGACAAGCAACGGAAGAACGTATGTCCTTAGTACAGTCAAAAAACAAGCACAGTGAAACAATCAATTGTACAGCTGGTTATAATATTTTTTCTTTTACAGTGTGCCTGCGACTCAAAGTGGAATTCTTGAAAATGATGGTGACGAACTTATGGTTGATGATTTTGGACGTCTATCGGATTTGGAAGAAGACATTGAGACAAATGCGGATTCTGTAGGACTTGTAAATGAAAAAGAGGATATGATAACAAACCTCACTTCCGAAGATGCGATTGGAAAGTCTGCAATGGATTCCAGTACATTTTTAGTGACACACATTTATCACGAGAACACGACTGGTTTAATAAAAACAATTATTAGTATAACCAATTGTACCAGTGTTTGTTTTAATGTGCTTTTGTTTGACTGTGCTAATGACAACTTCCATTCTTATTCTTACACTTCGATTGTAACTTCGCGCGAATTCGGTTACCTTCTGTAACCATGCTTGTATCCTGGCACGATCTCGGTATCCTTTTGATGTCACGAGATCGCTAGCAAATAAACCACGATTTGGTCCATTAATTGTCTTCTGATATTTGGCTTCTCGGGGATTTTATGCAGTCATTTGGAACGAGCTTCTTGGTAGCGGTGTTCACAGTCAATCTGCACTGCCAGTGAAATCGTTATACCAACACGTTATATTGTGGATGGAAGGCGGTCGTTCGGAATTGTGTGGTTCCCAGGAGTGTGGTAATACAACGGGAAAGTCCACATTCGAACTGACGTTCACGGTCTGAAGTGATAATTGGAAGACAGTCCAACTTTACTGTCCACCGTTCGACTAAGGTGTGTACCACTGTTTCAGCAGTAATGTCATTGATTGGTACTGCTTCTAGCCTTCGTGTAAAACGGTACACATAAGGAGGTAAAAGTGTTCATTTTAGTCCAATAATAGTCCTACTGAATGCAGATGAACATGGTCGATACGAGCGTTGGGAATTGTGCAAGATCACAACGGACACTTGTTGTGTCTCACCATAGACAACAAAATCTTTTCACCACTCGGACACAGACCCTAAAAGCCAGACACTTCACTACTTTCCACAAGCAATGTTTTTATTTTCAAGTTTGTTTCTATTAGCTACTGACACAGGTCGGTTGCTTCGACCTAGTGATTCAAGCCGCCTATTTCGTTTCTGGTCATGACCATGGCAAAATCGGCCGTAAAGAAGGGACGAAAAAGATTGACTCACCAAGAAGATCCGAAAATTAGGGATGGGGTTGTCAAACTTAAAGGTTTGTCGCTATCAAAGTCTCAATGTTTTTAGAGAAACTAACAAGCAGACAGAAACAAAGGCTTAAGAAGCGTTTTCTGAAATCTGATGAACTTGTTGAAAATAGGACGCCTCAAAAGGTACTTTTGTTGACGACCTTCTCTTTATTAAGTTTACGAGTCATCTGACAGTGTTCCTGCGACGCAAAGTGGATTTCTTGAAAATGATGGTGACGAACTTATGGTTGATGATTTTGGACGTCTATCGGATTTGGAAGAAGACATTGAGACAAATGCGGATTCTGTAGGACTTGTAAATGAAAAAGAGGATATGATAACAAACCTCACTTCCGAAGATGCGATTGGAAAGTCTGCAATGGATTCCAGTACATTAGACCAACGCATTCGGAACTGGCTTTATATCCTCTCCGATTTCAAAAACAGAGCACCTGCAGACCTCAGTAGGAGTTTGTGTGTTCGGACTCTGATAAGCGACTTATGTTCTCGCTATTCGTACAACCAGTTCCTTATGGTGAAACTTCTTGATTTGTTTCCCAAAGAGGTAATAAATATTGGGACTCAAATTCAGTCTCAGATTGTTGAGGTTTTAGAAGCTAATGAAGTCGACAGACCAGTGACCATTCGCACAAACACCTTAAAGACACGTCGCAGGGAATTGGCTCAAGCAAGTCCTCTTTGTTTATATAATTAGATAGGCTTTAATAAATCGCGGTGTAAACCTTGATCCTTTGGAACCGTGGAGCAAAGTTGGACTTGTTGTTTATTCATCACAAGTACCATTAGGCGCAACACCGGAATATCTTGCCGGTCATTATATACTTCAGGGAGCTAGTTCTATGCTTCCTGTAATTGCCTTGTCTCCCCAGTTAGGCGAGCGTATCTTGGATTTGTGTGCTGCGCCTGGTGGGAAAACAACTTACATTGGCAAGTTTGCAGTTTAATTTGATGTATTAATGAGTCGAAGTTTTGGGATTATTGGTGTATCTTCATTACTATTATTTACCGTGTTTTTATTAACTTGTGTCATTTGAGATGGTTATCTGAATCCATTACAGGGAATTGGTTTTTGCTGTTTCGGGTATGTTCAATTCTCGAGATAGCATTATATCACTCAGGTTTCGGAAACTATTGGATTTATTTATCGGGTTTCTGATTTTTAAACTCTGTGGTACTAAACTTAGTCCCATCACACGCGAGTGATACTTCCCATATACTAATGATTCTACATAGCTTATTTATATCTGTAAGATAGGTACGAATCTTTACTCTTATCCGTGTCAACCTCATATTTGCCAGGAGGAGTCGGTGAACTATTTGTTCCTTGGGATCTACGTCTGGACAGTTAGAGTGAGGTCATAGTTTCGGAGGGCTATGATTTTTTAATATTCCTCCTAAAAACTGAGGGGAGTGACAATTTAGTTAATAATAGATGTGCTCGATGGGTGACACTCAAAGTATTCTCCCTTACTACTTACAGAATTAAAGTAACCGTTGAGCCTTGAAAGATTCAACCGAAGAGTAGTGAGTTCTGCAGCTTACTGATTAGAGCTAAGGAAAGGTGTGCACGAGTCTAACATAAACATCTTTAGGTTAGTTTGTTGTGAAACAGTTAATTGCTTATATTTTAACTGAAGAATTGTAAATGTTTGATCACTCGACAGTTTTGTGTATACTCTTTTCCATTACTCAGAAGCAAAAACAACGATTTTAAGCAACATATTATAAGTTTGTCATTCTTATAAGCTACCCGCAATCCTCAGTATTCTGACGTCAAAATAATGAAGTTCAGCATACTTGTTTTTCTGAAAGGTTTTCCCGAGAGTATTGTTCCTCATCAATCGTATGAAAAAAATGAGGCGCTAAGGATGAGCCCAAACTAGCATTAGATACCAGTAACAAATATCTCAGGATTGTAGATTATCAGGTGGTGAGGCTGCGGAAAATAATGATTTTAAACTCAGTTTGAGTCGGATAGAAAACCACTTCGATTGTCTTCGGATCTGTCACATAAATGCAAGATGCTTGTTTGATAAAGATTCAAAACGTGGTGTGCGGTGTATAATAAAGAACTAACATTACTAAACTTACATTACAGAGAAGAGATGTAGGTCAGTCAGTGATTATTGTTTACTTCGATTTTAGTAAGGCTTTCGACAGTGTCTCACACAAACTTCTTCTTTTAAAACTTTCTTCATTTGGCATACAGAATCCCCTATTATCTTGGCTCAAATCTTTTTTAGAAGAACGTAGCCAAATCGTTTGCTTTAGATCTTGCTACTCTAAACCTGTAAATGTAACCAGTGGGGTTATACAAGGAAGTGTGGTTGGTCCTTTTTATCAATGATGTGTGTTCCCTCTTTCAGTATGGTAAGCCTTTCCTTTTTGCTGATGACCTGAAAGTAGTTTATTCATTCTCTTCTCCCACGAAAAAAAAGCTATATTTCTGCGGTAATCCAAGAAGAAATAAACAAGTTGTACGAATGGACTGTTTCGTGGAATATGCCACTTAATTTTGAAAAAAAGTGGATTTATTCACATTGATCACTGTCTTAAATTAAATCTGACTGTACAGACACATACACTCAAACCTCTCAACACTGTTCGTGACCTGGGTTTAAGATATAGCAACAGTATGAACTTTTCTGAGCACATTATATCTCAAGTATCCAAAGCTAGAAAGCTTATCGAATTGATATTGATAAACTTCAATAACATCGAATCGAGATTGTTACTATACAGAAAATGTATCTTACCCATTCTTGAATATGGTATTTTAGTTTACAGTAATTGTAGACATAATGATCTGATTAGAATTAAAGGTGTTCAAAGAAGGTTCACCAAAGCTGTTCTGGGGTATTCCGATAACAAAGATGTCAACAACTCAACTTAGAACCTCTTTGGATCAGACGTATCAAATTAAATCTTGCCTTTATCTACCGGCTTATTGACGGTATTTCCTGCTCATCGGTATCCACCCCTTCATACCTTATAATATTATCCCACAATCTACACAATAAAGAGAACATTCTAGCGATTTCAAGAACACACACAAACTTACGTCAGAATTTTTTCCTTATTCGCTACTCAACCATGTGGAACAGACTGCCAGCGAACCTCCGTTGCAGTGAAACTACAACCCGGTTCAAAAGTCTCCTTGACGACTTTCTTTCCGAAAGTGGATTATGTCACCTAGTGAATATCAATGTATTCAATAATGATTTATACAAACAAGGTCCGTCATCTATTTAATTGCTTGAAAAGTAAAATAAAACTTTTAAATCTTTTCACGTCTATTTTGTTTTATTTCTCTTCATTTTAATATATGAAGTCTGCTTATGTTCGTGTTTATCATTATTACCGTTAATAATATCATTATTAGTTCCCCGACACATTAGGTATTCTTTTTATCTCTTCTTTTCCTTCTAAACATATTTAACTCCATATTGTCCTTTGAAATCATTTTGACTTTCATAGCATCAATCTTAATTATCATTGCACAAATATTTATACTAATATCCGGTTTAGCTCTGTATAATAATAATAATAATAACTTATTCTCAAATAACAGTTTGTTACATGAGGCATGCCGGTTTACAGGCAAGATCAAATTGATACAAATGATACAATATCCACTGTAGTAAATTACATAGCTGGGTTGATAATTTATAAGATATGAATGTAGATGGTTTTAATCAGTGCCACAGTTGGCGCGCTTCATGAAAGTTGCGTTGCGAGTGTGCGACTGATGGTCAAGGATAGGTCCATTGAAGGTATGAGCTTTTTGAAATCGCAGCCTTATGTCCCTTTGGGATATTCAAGGCTTTAAAGATGGTGCAGGATGAAATCACCAGTTGCATATCTCAAGGGGGCTGAAAGAGGGAGCAAGTAAAAGAAAAAACCAGAGACAGAGTAGCCAATATTCATGAAGGAATGTTTAAGGTATGATCACTCAGTCTAATTTTCCTTTAAGGTATATGTTAAGAAAGAGCATTTTAATAGGTTAAAGAAAATAAGTGTTGACAAGGTGTGAGTGGACATGCAACTGACAAATGGAGGCGATTCGTAAAAGAGCTGAGCGCATAAGATTATGTGTGATTATAAAATAAATATGGTGCTAGAAACAGTATTGTGATATACAATTGGCTGTCTTCCCTTTATTATCGAAGCTATTAGAGCCCCTTTCGTTTTTAAAAAAAAATATTTTTTCCCTCAGTTATTATAGGGGCTTGAGTAGGCTTCGTATATTAGCGAATTGTCTAGTTTGCTTGTAATAGGATTTCTGGGTAGGAAGTGAAACAAATTCAACGTTCGTAACACGACTTAAAGAGGTATTTTGCGTGATAAATCAGCTTCAGTACCATAAGTTCATGACATCCCACTAAACCATAAGGAGCCGTCATTAAACAAAATGTTCTGCCCTACAGACATGGGTGGATTGAAGTTATCTCCCCACCTTCATGTTTGCTGGTCAGTAACGCCACCCTCCCTCCTTTTGTGATGTTAGGCTCTCTTACGTTTGTGGTAAGTATGAATACTGCTTTAATCAAAGCCCATAGTTGGAATACACTGTCTCTACTAGGTCCATGTTACAAGCAAATCAGATAGTTAAAAAATTTGTTTTATGGGTTAGATGTCCACATAGTATATCACACTGCTATGAAAATAACTAATGGTTTAAAGAGGTAAGGACTAATAGCAAATCAAAAGATATGAGAGGGTATAAAATCGTAGAAAAAAAAGATTTCAGGGTAAGACAAATAAAACATTGAGAAACTCACAAGACTTTGTGGCCAAGTTTTGAGCTTTGAATGATCGGCCTTAGTAGATCAGCATTTATAAGATTGAGCTATCTGTCTACTTGCAGTAGAGAAAAAGGCATGACTTTTAGGAAGAATAATGTACATTTAACCTGTAGAGATTCGGGAGCTGAAAGCTAGGGTTAGGAGCATAAAGTCATGATCAATAAACAATGAGTAACAGGAAGGGATAAGCCATATATTGTGATTTGGTTATATTCATATTAGTAACAGTCGGACTTGTTATAATTTTGTTCTTTCTAGATACTAGGCGGTCTATAATAAAGTGCCTCATTGGTGGGCGGGAGTTCAAGGAAATGTTGAAGCACTTTGGAGTCTAGAAATAGGGTTATTAGCCTTTTGAATCTGATAAACGTATCACAATTACGGATAGGCATTGGCAGCCCGTTCCACAATAAACTGTACCGTACTGTAAAGAATTTACAACGCATTTGTTTTTGGTGTTTTACGGTAAGTAGTGTATATGCGTTGTTTCTAAGTCTATAGGCTGGGTCGTGGGTAATATTCGGGCAGGAGGTTATAAAGGAGAGCCCATATATCGCTTTGTAGAGAAAAATGAAATTGTTTTTTAGCCTACGGTGCCATAAAGGTTCTAAAGAAAGAGGCTTACATCTGTCTGTGTAATTGAGATCCGAGTTACATCCTAGTAGTTGACGTGTGAAACGTCTTTGAACATCTTCTAATCTTATCTTGTCTGTGATATTCATATTAGAGAAGACAAAAGAGCAGTATTCAAGGGAGGGTCGTACACATATTTTGTAGAGAGTAAGTTTACCCTCTGTTGTGAAAAAGTTTTTCATTATAAAGCCAATTAGCCGTCTAGATTTAGAAATATTAGAGGAGGCATGTTCTTCAAAGTTCAGGCTTCCTGTGTAATTAATTCCTAAATCGTGTACTGATTCGAGTGTTTGGACTCTACTTTCATTTAAGTGAAGTTGCGGTTTATAGGGATGCTTTCCAAAGTGCATGACCCCGCATTTGTTGAGGTTAAATGGTACTTGCCATTTTTCACTCCATATAGTTAAGTTATTGAGGTCCTTTTGAATCTGGGATACACTTTCGCTTAGTGTCTCAGGCTTATAGCTGTATACTATTTTGAGATCATCAGCATATAAGTATGATCT